ACCAGACTGAACCAAAATGGAATTATTCATGCTAAATGACACATAAACTAAAATCTTAAAGAAGAGAGATCCCAAAGCAAGTCTTTTCCCCCTGAAAACAGGAGATTCCAGTCCACCTCAGTGTAGTAAGTTAGTCCCTTCCGCTTTAACTCTTAGAAAAAAGTAACCTGCCTTAACCAGATGTTTAACCAGTCTGCTTTCCTTTTGTTTGTTTCTTTATCCACATCTTGCATTATAGGCACTCTCATTCTATTTTGTAGAATGAATCCCAAATAAAACCAAACAGGTCCATAACTAAATTTTCTGTAACTCTGTCTTTGACAGAACTAAAATGTAAACTGCAGGAAAATTGTTGTTCAACTTGGAAAATAAGACATAGAGGGGAAGGGAGTCATTCCTCTTAGCCCTTCCCTCTTCTGTGTCTTTTTGTCCTATTATTATTCCTTAGATTTCCTTGTCTCCTTAGTTCTTTCTAGTGAAAAGCTGTTCCCTCTTTTCTTCCTCATTCCAAGGCTCCTTAGACTTCCCCTTCACCCTTCTTTCCATCAGGCTGGAAAGACATAAGAGAGGCTTCCAACCAAATGTCAGTGATGGATGGCTGTATGGAGGCATACAATGGAATTCTGGCATGTCACAATGACCTTCAAAAGAAAGAACCAAAGCCCAAGTCTGACCTGAGGGGGAGGCTGATTTAAATAAGGTTACAGCAAAGGGCAGAGCGGCCTGTGGGATGTCTTCTCTGCAGAGTGCCAGAACAATGATTTAAACTTGTCAAGAAGAAAGAGCCTAGAAAGTCATGGTGGTAGACTGCTGAAGGGTAGGGGAAAGTCTGAAACACAGAGACATAAATGATAAACAAGCATAGACACACTACAAAAGTCATGATCTAGGGGAATGTTAGATCTTGACATGTAAATGCAGTGACAATAGGAAATAGGTAATATATTTTGACATATTTTCAAAATAAGAAATATTCTAGGTGAATAAGATACCCAAACTGAATGACACAGGGTTACTTATCCAGAATCAAAGCAAAGTTTCTGTCAATGGAAGGACCAGGATCCAAGTGATTTCTTTTAACTGTCAGGGAACAAGTCAGTTTGAGCATCTTTGAGACAAGGACTATGCTAAACAATGGGATACGTGGTGGGGAGAAAAAAAGATCTTTATACTCAAGGGGCTCAAAGTCAGTGCTAAGGGAGTAGAGAGATGGTACATGTAAACTAGGAATTAGAGTCATGCTAAGGAAAGAAACAGGGCCGGGAGTCTGAGTTTGCTCATCACTGATAGCGACAGAATTTATATTTTCTAACATGACGGCCATTTACTCACCCAATATGTACCATCAGTCCACTACTGATACTCCTTGTTTTATGAGTGTGCACTAAATCTACCACTGACTCTACCAATAAAATGACAACACACTGTCCAGAATGACCAATATGGCAGGGAAACTACAGACCAAGAAGTCTTTCATATTCTTTGGAAGCCTAGTAGACAGGATGTCACCACCTCGTAAGTCCCAAGCCAACACAAGGCAATCACAGTCTGCATCCTCTCTAGGGCATATGAAACCTAGGCCAAGCAAAGGAACATATCCTTCTCAGCAATTGTCTTGATGTTCACGAAGTCTCCGGAGTGCCAGAAGGTCAAAAGACAGGTCCTCCACCAGTCAAGCACTTACCGGCATAAAGTGGTGGTTGAACTTCGAGTAAAAAAACAAAAAGAGCAGACAGGCAAAGGGCCTGTGTGATGAGTTCAAGTGTCACAGCACAAACGGGAAGCAAGAAGAAATACTTGAAGGTTAAAATCAAGTTAAGACCAGACAGCTAAACCTACCTTGGGGAGAGTGGCTGTATGGTATTGGTACGCAGTGTCCTAAATAAGAGCAGGCACTTGGGAAATTGTCATTAATCAAATGATGTCAGTGCCAGGCATGCCTGTAATTTCAGTTATTTGGGAGGCTGAAGCAGGAGACCTACAAGTTTGAGGGCCAGTTTGTGAATTTAGCAAGACCTGTCTTGAATAAAAAGGGCTGGAGCTGGAGCCAGTAGTAGAGAGCTTTCATAGCACGTACAAGGTCCCGGATCGCTCCCAGTAAAGGGGGAGGGTGTGCCATTTACCATACTGAAAAGAGTACTCATCCCTTATGTGGCCTTTTGAGCTAAACTTCATGTCCATCCTATTTCCTATCTCACTGCTGCTCTTGCCATTACCAGCAGCACTTACTTATACTTCAACATGTCACAGGGTAGCTGGGGAATAGCTATCAATGTACACCTATTGAGCAATTAAAGCCACATCTTTTTATTTGGAAAGTATAACTTTTGAAATCCTCTTCTAAGGCTGATTGTTTTGCCAGGCATGATGGTACATCCTGTAATCCAGCATCAGGAGGCTGAGGCAGCAAAGATCACTAGCTCTGGGCTAGCTACATAGAAAGACTATGCCTCAAAAAAAAAAACCAACAAAAACATAATGTTGTTGGTTTCCCACCAAAAAAAAGACTCATTTTTCTCATTCCTTCCAATAGGCTTCTGGCATTTTTCCTAAAATGTTAATAATTTTAATTGTCATAGTATGTGAAAACTATTCATTCTGTAGGGAACTGAAAACTATTCATTCTGTAGGGAACTGAGTCACCATTGGCAGAGACCATTGGAACAACAGAAAGCTTGAGGCTCCAAAGTTACTAGGTAAAAGCCTAAAAAATCAATAAGAATCACTCTTAAAAGACTTAGTAACCAGTCCTGACCAAGACATCAACATGTAGTGGCTATTTGTATATTTAAGAGACTTACATTAAACTCAAGAGTCAATAAGGACAATTCTTTTCTCAGGATCCCAATGTGATAGTCTTAATTTTAACTGTTTCAGGAAACAATGTCCCAAGAGCACTTCTAGGCAGTGTTAAAGCCACTCTTTAATATACTAAAACTACGTATGCCACAATCTCTCCTCAGCCAATTTTTCATAATATAAAATTCTCATCAAAACTGCCAACTTTTACTTACTGTACACCAAGATGGAGCCTAATACAACAAATGTAAAAGTTGTATCACTCATCACCATGTAACAAAAATGTGTGTCTTGTTACAAGGTTATAAAGTTAGTGTAGTACTAATTTCAAAACAGATTTGCCTCATAGATGAAAGACTGACCTGTTGGGAGACAGTAATTAGTTCCCAAGTCTTTTTCACTTTTTTAAAGGATCTTTTAAATAAGACCCTATACCTCATTTATCTTGTATTGCTCACAGCAACCAACAGTGCCATGCATATGTAGAATGCAATAAAATATTGTGAAGAACCATGTTTTTCACAACCAACATTAAAAGCCTCCCAAAACAAGTACCAGAAACAATAGAATATACAAAAAAACTACTTCTAGTATGCTTTTACCCTATGATTCACAACAAGTCTGAATTATTTCCAGGAAATTGCTTCTTCAAAGACATGTACACTTCTTCAGTATTTTAAATTTGTGTCCTGCTTATAGAAAATGCAAGTAAAGCTAAATATACACTGAGCTCCTTATTTCACAGAAATTTATTAAAAAGTAGCATCACCCCACTATGTGCGCCATGTCATATTTAAGTGGTAGGAAATGAAGACAGATACCTCCATTTCTTAATATCAGCCTTAAATTTCGCATGCAGTGGGTTTCTATGCCCAAATGCACACTATTTGACCATTAAAAATTAAATTGCTAACAAAGCCAAACTAGAATAAATGAGAAATATAGGGAAGGGAGAAAAAAGAAAGTTACTGTCTGGAAATAAGGACAAAGGAGTTCTTGTGCCTGTTCAACCATTAATTTACTATATGACCTTCCCTAATAGTAGCCTCCCTGGGTCTCAACTTCCTGTTTTATTATTATTTTTAAGATCCCTTGGAACGCTATGTAAGGATTCAACATATGCCATGCTTCCCAGAAAACTGATTTGCATTCCTATCACCCTCTCCAAAAAAGGTCGCATTTCACTTGATAGCTTTAAATAGCTAAGTTTGGATTTCTATTAAAGGTAATTCGTTAAAATGTCAGATGAGCTTAAATCCACTTCACATGGAGAATGAAAGTGAGTACTGCTTACAGATTCAAGTTTCATCTAGACAACAGCTGCTGTTATTAAGAGAACAGCCCTTAACAGTCTAGTTGAAAATTATACCTCCTCACAAATGGAGAAAACTAGGTAAGGGTGATTTTCATGGTCTCAAAACCCCAGATGGCTTTTCTTACTTTCTCTCTTCTTTGTCGCTGACTTCTCTGTCTTCTTCCCCTCCTCTTCCATTTCCCATAGTCATCTGGCTGGGATGGAGGAAAGTAACAGGGCCAACTTGGCTTGGAGGCAGGGAGATGTGTTGGGATGTTATAACACAAACTCAGACAAGCCCTCTCAATTGGTGCACCGTACAACTAAGCCCATCCTTCTAAATCCTGCTTACAACCCAAGCCAAATGAAAAGATTTCCTGTGGATGGATAGAAAGAAGCTTGGACAAGTGAGGAATACCAAGATAATTAATAGCTAGCCAGAAGTCCAAAGACTTGCTCCCAAATATGGGGTCATTTCTGAAAGGGTCAATGAAAAGGAAATCTGGTACTGAGACCAGTTTGATTAAGATATGATTTGTATCTAACTATAGTCTATCTTAAAAAAAATCACAGTTTGATAACAGACAGCACTAGCATAGAGTACTTTATTTTACACATATGAAATTTGATTGAATTGAATCTTCAGAATAGTCTACAAATTTTTTTTCTTTTCTTTTGGCAAATTTTAGTATCTAGCACAGGCTAGCCTTGAACTCATGACCTTCCTACATCAGTCTTCAGGGTGCTGGAATTACAATTGTGTATCACCATACCCTGCTTCCAAAAAGCATTTTTAAACTCATTTTTCAGATGAAGAAAATTAGGGGATTCACCCAGTAGCACAGGGTTATCAATTGTCAAAGCCTTCTTTGAAACCCAAGTCTGAGCAAGCACTTTAAATCCTTACATTTTTTAATGGTACTTCTGATTGTCTGATTGATGTGGTGAGATGCCTGTAATCCTAGCACTCAAGAGGCTGAAGCAGAAAGATCACCAGTTGGAGGCCAGAAGAGATCCTAAAGAAAACAAAAAAAAAAGTTTTTTGAGACAGGGTCTCACTAGGTAGCCCAGGCTTGGCCTCAAACTCTTGATCCACCTACATTAGCCTCCTTAGTAAGAAATGGTACTTCTAACACCAATTTTCCAATCCTATTTTGCCTGATTTAATAAATTTTCTTTTTCAAAAACTGCTCCACCACCCCGTCCCCCAATCAGTTCCTCCTTGGCTTCTTGAATCAAGAATCAAATGCCTGTGTCCTCCCAATCACTTAACACAACTTTCTGGACCTTCCAACAGTTGATTTCCTTGTCTCTCTAGCAAGACTTAATTACTTCAACAGCCCAATACATCTTATCCAACCCTGAAAATGGAAACCACCACATAGGTGTCTCCATGTCAATGGCTTCCAGCTACAAAGACTCCATCCTATTCCCTCCCTACCAACAAAACCGCTCCACTAAGCAGGTGTTGAGATTTCTTGCAGAGGGTTTGGCTCTAATAGGTGATTTCTAAGTGTTAGGTGAATATAATACCGAAATATTTTGGAGAACTTTACAGCACAGATAATTACAACAGCATTCCAAATGCGAGTCTCAAATTGCAAATATGTAGTAATTAATTTCTTTCTGAAACTTGTCCCAAGACACATAGCTTTTAACAGGACCCTTTCAAAAGCTTCAGAAATGTAGCCCACAGGACTACTTGGCCCCTACTTTTTCTTCCCACATAGGTGTCTCATGTCAATGGCTTCCCAGCTACAAAGACTCCATCCTATTCCTCCCTACAACAAACCGCTCCACTAAGCAGGTGTGAGATTTCTTGCAGAGGGTTTGGCTCTAATAGGTGATTTCTAAGAGTGTTAGGTGAATATAATACCCGAAATATTTTGGAGAACTTTACAGCACAGATAATTACAACAGCCTTCCAAATGCGAGTCTCAAATTGCAAATATGTAGTAATTAATTTCTTTTCTGAAACTTGTCCAAGACATAGCTTTTAACAGGACCCTTTCAAAAGCTTCAGAAAGTACCACAGACTACTTGGCCTACTTTTTTCTTTCATTTTCAGGTAGCTTTGGAGGAAGGCAGAATAGGTTTACTAGAATGATTAAGTATTACATTCAAGTTCCTGTTGTGCTCTGACACTTCTGAATTGCCAGCTACAGGCTAGATATGAAGGAAAATATGCAACAAACTTGACACAAAAAATTCATACAATCACCATGCTCAAAGTTTACACATTCTAATTCCTGTACGAGAGAGAGAGAGAGAGAGAGAGAGGAGAGAGGGAGGAGGGAGCACCAGCACCTGAAGAGAAAGCCAGACCTCTCTCTCCTAGACCTTGGTGACTCTCATCCACAGGCTGATAAAGCTAAACAAGTGTGGTGTGGCTCAGAACTCACCTCCAACCTTACTTTTCTAAGCTCGTAAGCACACAATTAGATAAAACAGCATCCAGTGGACTAATTAAAAGCCAGAAGACAGGTTGCAATTCCAACCATCCTGTCTGTTGCAGACACAGAAAGCTGAGGGGAGTCATTTCCATGACAGGATGAAGTACCATAAGTGTTACCTGCTTACTAAGTACAGGACGGCCTATGCACATTCTTCTACTGTCTCAGAAATGCAATCAAAAGAACGGTCCAAATAGGTAATGAGGCCAGAAACAGACCAATTCTGAAAAAGGCAAGTTCCTTCATTGATCAAATAAACATAAGGACTTTATTTCGGTCAACTAAAGATCTATTGAGGCTATTTTATGTGTTTGTTTTTGAGCAGCCATTTCCAACAGGTATGTGGCTGCACTCAGAATTTAGGGCTCTCCTCTGCTGCCCTCGAAGTATTGAAGGCTCCCTCAGATAGATGAGCTATGCGTCCGCCTCTTCGATTCCGTGCCCACACCTCACCTCTAAATGCTTCTCTTCTCTTTACAGTTTCCGCACGCGTTGTCACACCAGCACACGGGGAGTGAATTCAGGCAGTCAGCGGCTCATGAACCGAGTAAAATATTAGTCACTCTATCCTTAACCCAGCTGCTGATAAAGGCGCATACATAAAGTCTGTTTTCCTAAGCTTGAGGAGGAGAATTAAAGTGGGCTGTTTCCGCTCCAAGGCGAGGTCTGGTGACTATCACCCCCAGCGGAGAGCATCCAGGAGAGGCAGGACCTCGTTTTACTGCTGAGAGGGGAGTGACGAGCATCATCTCTGGTCTCAGAGACAGGATCTCGACCTTGTAGAGAAGAGCTGGGAATGGGCTCAGTGCTGCAACTTCCTAGCTTTAAAGAGCTGTGCACACGATTCTAAAGCCCTCGCTGACCTCTAATTAAAGAAAGGTGGAGGGCGAAGGACTCATCGAGAGAAAGGTGAAGAGACAAAGATCCCTCGAAACGCACGAAGCGCGCGCGCACGAAGCCGAGACTCCACAATGGACAGTCTATGAACTTTCCCTGTAATAGGCTTCCTGTGGGTTTATTCACCCAGCCTCTCCAGAAAGTTTAGGGCTGTTCACACCGATTTCAAGATCCTTGTTCCGTCCTAAACGAAACGCAGAAGAGAGAGGAAGAGAAAGAAACCAAGACCGGGACCACTTTTTAATGAAGACCGATCCGAGGGAGTCCTAGTAACTCCAGCCAGAGAGAGACCGCAAAAGGAGGCGCACGGGGGAGGGAGCTGCGGGGACTTAAGGATAGTTTCCATTTCAGCAGAAATGCCCAGACGAGAGCTGGCCAGGCCTCCAGAAACAGGAAGGTGCGAGAGACCTGATCGGTGGCCTTGGGACAGCCAAGGAGGCGGGGCCGGAGGCAAAGTATCCCAGGCAATCTTACCTTCCCTCCCCGCTTAGCGTCGGTGAATCCAGGTGCCTACGCAGTGGTCCAAAGAACCCGCTGAGCCCTGGCGTCCGCGGGTCCGGATCTCCTCTCCATGGCCAGGGAGGCTCCTGGTCCGCGAGCCCGAAGCCGTGCTGTAGCTGCAGTTTTACGCAACTGGTAGCCGAGCCTCGTGCCTGGAGGTGAAATCTTCCACCGGGCAGTGACGCGTTCCTCCGCTCCGATCCTCCAGCCCCGAGCCCCGGTGGCAGGGCCTCGGCTCGCACTCTCCGGAGCAGCCGCTCGGCTTTCTTCGTTCTTCCCTCCGGGGAAGAGGAGGAGAATCGCGACCCGGCGGCGCGGGCCGAGCGTCCCGAACACAATAGGGGGAAGAGGGCTGCGCGGGGAAGAGCCCGTCCAGGAGTGCGCTTGTCGCTGGTCGGCGGGGCCGCGGCTCGCTTGGTGCGCTCAGCTCGCAGACAGACAGCGACCCGGTCTGTTGGGGCCGCGGGCTCGATTGGGCGGGCGGCCGAGAGGAGGAGGCGGGGGAGGAGAGGAAGGCCTGCGCGCGGAGGAGGCGGTGGCTGCGCAGGCTACTCCGCCGCCGCGGCTGGTTGGTGAGCTGGGACGCGCCGCTCGGCGCCCGCGCTGCTGGGAGCAAGGACCGCGTCCCCGCACTGCCGAAGCGAACGGCCCCAAGCAGGGCTGTGCAGGCTCCTGCCGGTGCAGGGCGCGGTACCTGAACTGAGCCTATAGTCATCATCGACCCCTTGTCGACCTGATGCTGCCTGCTGTCAGTTCTCGCCGCCGAACCTCGTCTGCGCCCCCACTGAGTCCCATCACCTCCGTTGAGTTGACCCTCCTTCCCCCCCGTCATCGACCGAGGCTGAGCTGGTCATGCTCTTTCAGCGTTCCAGGCTGAGACTGACTCGGCCCTCCATCAAGGAACTTCCACGGTCCATGAAATTTTTGTGCGTCAAGTACCGCACAGGCTGCCCCCACCTGGTCAGCCACCGGTTCTGGGTTCTTAGCTCTCTCCAAGAACAGCCTGCTCTCGCACTCAGGACAATTCTTCCCGTAGCCTGAAGCAGCCCCAGCATCACCGCTCTCAGGCAGAATAAATACATCTATGTCGCCCAGCCCCCTACCGCGCCACTCTGGAGTGGCTGAGCTAGCAGGGGGCGGTGGGTGGCGTTGAAACACTCCGCCCACAATGCCAAAGTACCTCTGTGGACACTGTCGACCGCCGGTCTGGAACTGCCCGGCCACCATCACCACCCCTCTCTTCCCCCCGAAGATGCTCTTACGAGGAAAGCCTTGGCTAGCTCTTAGGGCGTGGCTGGGCATGAAGCCGTCAGACCCACGAGGTCCGAACTAATGAAGCTGCAGAAGGCAAATCCGGACAGTCGTCATCCTCTATTTAATTTCGGAATTGGAAGTTTTCCCGCCAGGAACTCTCAGTGAATACTGTACAGAGGCGATTGTTCACTTTTGGGATTGCTCTTTTTGTTTGGTTTTCCCCTTAATAAAAGTCGGTCACATAACTATGACATACCAGCAGGCAAGAAGGGGATACCATATTTGGACGATTTGAGTCCAGCTTTGTACAGGGAAACAGTGTTTCCAAATCTTGGCTGATGGTAAGAATCCTTGGACACTTTGAAAAACTTGCATTCCCAAACATCATTCGGTCCTGAATCAATGGTGTCTGGAAAATGTACACTTGAGAACGGTGCTAGAATACATCCACAATGAATTAAAGCTTGGAAAGAGTGTCCCCAAAACAGCAACTTGATCTGCTGCCTGAGAATCAACACTGGATGGAAATGCCTTTCCAAGCTTTGTCCTTCTGGGAGAGGGAGAAGGAAGATGTCAAATACAGAACATGGTTTTTACTGACAAGCTGGAGGGACAAAGGATTATGTTAGTGGTCCCAAAATGAAATGTAGG